ATATATATATATATATATATATATATATATATATATATATATATATATATATATATATATACATATAGAGTATCTTACACAAACTGTGTGACGTAATTGACCTGTACTTTCTTCTTCACCGGAATAGCTGCCATACTTCCAACTTAAATTTCCGGAATAAATATGTTGAGCATCACACAAAAACAACCCTCTACTACGTCCTTCTGCAATGAAAATATTCACGTCTCAAGGATGAAAACTATGAAACTTTAAACATAAAGTAATGTAATGTATTGCATGTTCTTTGATGAACTTCGCATGCATAAGTATGCGAAGTTTACTAAAGAAATTAATAAAAAAGCGAAACCCAGAGGGACCGACCTTTGGCGACGTGACCTCTCTGCAATCAGGGAACTGACAGCCAAAATTCTTTACTTTCAATCGCCAACAATGAAAAGAACCTGACGTACATACTGAAATTCTGACATTCGATAAAGTTTGCAAGCAAAAATCTGAACTTGAGATATGTGAAACATGCCAACTGTTAGTATTTTGTTCAGTATTTCCGGGGGTTAGGACCAGCTGTTAATAAAACGCAAAAAGCCTAGCCCAACAATCAACGAGACAGTTCAATCAAAAAGACCCTAATGTTACTGACTTTCATCGTCATCTTCCACAATTTGTTGTTATTCCGAAACTCCGTTCCATATCTCGTCATCGGTAAAGGCTGAATCTCTTGTGAATACAGTTTCTGCCACATAACTGATGCTTTTCAATAAAATTTATTTGAAAACAAAGGAAAAATATTCCAAATAGGTATGGGGATTGTCTCCCACTTACAAATGAACAATGGACAACATGGAAACAAAAGTATTATATTAAGTATGGTAGAAGCAAAAAACTGATAAGGTTTTTACAGAGAATGAAAGGAACAATATCTAATAATTGCAGACAAAAACTGAGAAATCTCACGATTACTATTTGGTGCAACACCACTCGTATTTTAGAATTATTTTCCTTATCTGCAATCAGTGAAAACGCCAGATGTTGGAGTAATGAACAACTTACCTTATGACTTCATAAGCACCAACATGTAACAAAGATCAAGCTTTGAATAGTGTAAAGTGTTGCCTGATTTTAATCCCCTGATTCATACTTGACACTTACATAAATTTCAATAATAACCAAGGGATAAAAGAATCTTTTAGCAAGTTTAACTGATTTCAAGCAAAAATATCCTCTCGGTCAGCAGCAGCCACACCTAAAGGATCATCGAATCCCTTAAAGTTTTGAAAATGCAGTGGTCGGTGGTCTTCATGATAGAATTCTTTAGGATTTGTTAACATTAAATCATAACGCATATTCGCTTCATGTCGGACGCCTGCAACAAACACCACTGTGAATGCATTCTCCTGCAGAATAAACCGAATATTCTAAAAAATTTGATTCGTAAACATTCCGAATGAAGTATGGAAAAGAAAGTTCTAATTCATGAAGTCATACCCATAAAGTTATAATTCCATATTCCTGATGATGGTACCATAAAATAGCCAAGAAAACGATCCGATAGAAGCATTTGAACTTTTTCATAATGCGATGGAAGGTAACCTTTCGGATTATTACTCTGCTTATCAGTGTTATTTCGAGCCCATTCAAAACCACTGGGAGTCAGTTTGTAAGCAGTTAACGATACTGATCCCGGAGTGAAACTGAAATTATATATTTTAAACTCTAGCAAAATGGAACCAAAATAAATAAAAATTATTCCATTATGACAATGGAATGGCTATAAATTTCGAACAGTTCCGAGAATAAATTAAAAAAATGTGTTCACCAATCCACCGTAAAGTTAGTGGTCTGATCACCTGCAAGTAATAATAACTGTTTTTCACCATCCCAACTTTCATTTTCCAACAAAATTTTTGCATGTGACGTTACATCCTGTGGTGATAGTTGAGGCAGTTCATTTGGTTGTGTGTGCATCCTAAAAATAATCATTTGAGGAATTTTGCAACTTAATGAGCAAATCGGAACCGTTGTCAGGTATAGCATGAAGAATTACAGATGTTTAGACGAAGTCCAGTTCACGACTGCATAATGAGCCTTTTGAAGATGAGCTGTATAATCATTTCTGTATAATCAGATGAGATTTCTGTATAATCAGATGAGCTGTATAAAAAAGAGACTACTCAGAAATAAGTTCGTATTACTTCATTAGGAGAAATCTTTTTTGAAACTTCACTCCTTCCCATTTTCGGAATAAAAATTTCTATATCTTCGAAATGTAAGTCCTTACCATCCAAGTGGTTCGAGATCTTTGATAAATTCATGAGTAGGCAATTGGTTAGGTAGATGCACTAACTGATGAGTACCCCACTGTGGTGGTAGTACAATGCAACGAATTTCTTTTACCTGCGGGTTATCAGGTGGTGATATCCCATAAAGATAACCAGCAACCTGTGAAGAAACATTTCATGTCAAAATCAACAAATCAAATCTCGACTGGTATTTTTTATTTTTCTATTAAATTCTTTGTTCGCATATTTCGGGACTCTAAAATTTGGAAATAAGAAAAGAAAGAAAATAAACAAGCACCTGGGTTCTTAAATCTGCAATAATGATGAACTTTTTTAACACATTCTTCGGCAAGATGTATGTATAACCAGTATCTTTGACATCATCAGAGTTAACATATATGTGTTGCGTTCGTAAATGCAAATTTGTTGCACTGATTGCACGGATTCGCCATTCAGTGCGTGACGCAAATGTTTGACTCTTAAAAATCAAGGAATTATAACCGAGCCCATTTGTCATGCAATATGAGTGCAAACGATGAACTAACAAAACCATACGTCATTTTCAGCTAATGTTTTGCCAAACATAATAAGTAATTATAGGTTTTTGCAACAAACGCTACTTAATCCAGCTGATCTCTAAGCAGTTTTTTATCTTTTCATAAAATTGTCTTTTATTTATAAAATTTATAGACTATTCAAGAATATTTCGGAATTCTATATGGAATCTATCACCTCATAATTGCTTGTTGTTGCCGATATGATTTCATCTCCATGTTTGTTGACCGTACGGGTTGTGGTAGCTGTTACCTGAAGATCGGAGAATGGAAACGAACTGACAAAATTGACAAAAGCATACGGATTTTCAGCTGATTTGCCAAACACAACAAATAATATTGAAAAGGTTTTCAAATTCGAGAATAGTCATTCTGCCGAATAGTTCAAATATGAAATCTGCAATACCTATTGTCAACTTTGAAAATTCCATAGATGAATGTACCTGACTCTGTTCCTTTGTTTGCTTTTCAATATCAGCTATTTGCTGACGTTGGGCTGATGGAGCACTGATTTCCATACCCAAAATAATATCTCGTACTTCACTCTGCGTCAGTGATGCAACATTCACATTATTTTTTTTACCATAATCGGCCAAAATCATATCTTTTAAAGCTAATTCAACCTGAAACACAGAAAATAATTTAATTAGTTCTATTCTAAAAGTCTAAATTTTTGAACGAAGAGAATTAGCAGTCCGAAGAATTATGCAAACCTTAATCCAATCTTCATCACTTAAAGACGGCCATATATGATGAGGTTCTGTTACTGTTGTTTTGTCTGGTTTCAAAATTACTTTCGTTTTGTCTGGGTTGATATGCATACCACGCATTATCAATATGACACGTGAAAATGCTGTGTAACTAGAGATAGTCTAAAATGAAAACTGATTAATATAAGAGTCTGAGACTCTTTTCTCCCACCTTTTTCCTCGCTGATGATCATCACTAGTTTTAATATCAATACTTAAGCCACATTTAATGATCAAAGTACAATAGCAGAGATAACTTATTTACAAAACCAGGGTTCAGCTATATTAGCAAAATCAGAGTTCGATTATATCACTAATAGTAAAAGTGTATGTTTCGAAAATATGAAGTCAATATTTCCAGTATAGACAAAAAATTTAAAAAATTGTCGCCTGCACTGCAAGACACAGAAGCTTTTGATTAGTCCAGTAGCATAAACAATATTGCAACAAAAATGAAATCCGAATCATACCTTCAGCCAATCGTCATATAAGTTGAACAAGACCATCTGTGGTTCAGTTGCTTTCAAAATGAGGTCACCGAACTTTTCTACCTAAACATTTTCCGATTTCAACCTTCCATTTTAAAATCGATGAACAGGTAGAAAACAATATTTCTTCCAATAAAATTACACAGCAACCTTCATAATAGCCTGAAATGGTAGCATCAATTCCGATCCCTTAATAACAATATTCGGAAAGTCGAGCAAGTGAACTTCCAGAGGGTCCAACATGGCTTTTCGTGTCACGATGATTTGACGCGGCTGTTCCTCAACTGGTAAAGAACGAATCAAAGCTGCTACTTCTTCAGCCGTTTTCCATTTAGCTAACTAAAACATATTCTCTCAAAACAAAATGAGATTAGAAACTATATGACTTAAAAGTTATGCAAAAAAATTGAATACAATCAAGGAAGCGCACCTGACTTAACCGTTTCTGTCCAGCCCATACACTTGTATGGATGATTTTTAAAAAAAGTTGTCCCGTTCGTGGGTTGAAGATAAAAATGGCACCATTGATAGGCTTTGTTGTTAAGTTTCCTTCAAATGTCTGCAAAAAATTGAAGTTTTGTGTATAGAGTGGACATTTATGATTTTACCAAAATAAAAATTATCTGCTTTAAAGAAATTTATGTGATGAAAATAACCTTATGGATCGTCACTCGATAAACATTTGTATCGTCTACAAACCAAATAATCTGATTGCTAAATAATTCGCCATAATTTTGCGATGTCAAGTACGGTTCTGTAGGTTCAGATGAGTATAACTGAAGACCTTTACGGATACGTTCACGCAATACGTAAAAAGCAGGATTGGCTTTGATGATTTTGGCCATGGCTTGTCGAATCAGTGGTTTCATACCAGGGAACCAGTTTCCATATGCACTGGAAAAGTCGATTTTATTGAATTTTCTTAAACAGAAATAAAAATAACAAATTTAAGTTGTCAAGTGCAAAATTCAATAAATTCAATGAAAAAGAGAAATCCTACCTATATAAATTGTACGCCAAGTCGATTGCAATTAAAACACCAGTTGGCGAAGGATAAATTGACATATTATCAGTGGTATAATCAAGAAATTTTGCCCTCGCGTAACGTTCAACATCATGTGAGTCATAATCGCCCCAACGTAACTGAATATCTAACCAGTACTTCTGGGTTGTTGTGTTGTCCATTACATCCCTAAAATTTTCGATAAGATTAAGATGCCTGTTCGAGGAGGATAATATATCAAGAGCTCACAACTCCTTCATCTATCGAAGATTTGCAAGGTTTCCTTATGGATCCCTGCTCCATAGTTGTTGTTTTTTAAACAGGTGATTAATAAATATTGCCAGGCAAACTTGCTAGTGGCAGGTACAACAAGCTAATTAAACGTATTAGTATATAGGATAAAAGTTCGAAACATAATGACGTACTTCGTGTCAGCTAACAGCGATGGTCGAGACACGTGCCATTTATACTGTGCAAAAAGAAGGATATCAGCACATGAGCTGTTCATTTTATAAGATTTTCGAGGATGAATTGTTTCTTTCTGTACAGTCTGGATTTCGAGCGCATCAAGTTCTTGATCGAATACCTAAAAATGTTTCTTTTCTGGAAAATAAGAATTCTAGATTCTATATTCTCATGTTTCCGGTATACAAAACATACTTGGCACAAATCCATAACAACCGATTCATGGATCTTCTGCCATAAGTGAGCACGAAATATTTGAATCAACGATATTTTTAGCGTCGGAATTTTGCCATGCATGAAGATGCCAGTAAGATCAAGTTGCACTTGGAAACCAACGTAGA